AGTTAAAAGAGATTTAGAGATGCCCGATATTAAATTCGATTTTAATAAAAACGTAGTCTTTAATTGAATAATATACGCCTAGATACGTAAGGCCGTTAAAAAAAGCGTTAAATATAATAAGGAATTAATAAACTTTTTAATATTAATACCGCTCGATTAGTAAAAGCTTAAGTTAAAAACGATTATAATACTATTAAAATATAAAAAATATTTAACGCTATATTTAAAAGATTTAAAAGCGAATGTTAAAAAGTTTTAAACTTTGCTAACTAAATAAATACGTTTTAAAATGCTATTAATATTGTTATTATCCTTCTTAACGGAGGATAATAAAAACTTAAATTTAACGTACTTATTACTTTCAACGGGACCCTTAGAACCTTAAAAGGATTTTTAATTTAAATTAAGAATTTTTAAAATTTTTATTAAAAAGATTTTAATAACGAAATTGAGAAGGTTATATACGCCGCTAGCTTTTTTAAAAGACGAGTTCTTAAATAGTTTAAGCCTTTTTAAAAAAAATATTTTAATAAGGAAACCCTCGATAAATACTTTTCCAAAGTATAAAATATTTATTATAATTTTAAAAGATTTAAAAAAAGATTTAAATTATTTTTTTAAAATTTAAATAAAAAACGATAAGCCGAGCGTAATATATTATAATTTTGATAAATTAAATTAATAAAAAACTATTTAGTCGAATTTAAACGCCTTAGCGCCTAGCTTAATTATATTAACGATACTAAAATCTTTATATTTTATTAAAGATTAAAGGACGAAGTTAAGGACGAAGTTAAGGACGAATTTATTAAATTTAATAAATTAAATAATTTCTTTTAATATACCGAACTCGTAATTAAGATCGATAACTATTTTTTTAAATAAAAAAAAAAAGGATTAACGATAAGAACTTAACTTAGGACGTAAATATTAATAATAACTTTAACGTAATTTTAATTAAAAAAACCGTTATAATAAGAACAATAATTTTTAATAAACTACTACTTATAAATAATATAGCGGATTTATAGATTTTAATATAGCGAAATAAGACTAATCCCGCTAAAAAAAAGAATTTAAATACTATAACTATAATAAGCTAAGATATATAGCTAGAGATTATAAATAGCTTAAACAAATTTAATAACGACCTATCCTTAAGAAATAAATTAATATTATCTCTAAAAAAGTACCCTATAAATCGCTCTTATAGACTATATATTACGACGATAACTACCTTACTTATTAAGATAATAAAGAATAATTAGGATAGTACCTTAAGAAACCCTTTAATAAAACCCTTATTATAATAAATAAATAAAAAATAGTTTAACGTTTTAAGATGATTAAAAACTATAATAAAAAATATATTTAAATATTATTAATAATATATAAAATAGTTAGAGTATAACCTATTAGCTTTTTTAAACGAGCGTAAACCCTTACGATAATAAAAAGTAGATTAAAAAAAAGATAATAATTAAAAACAAAAACGACTTATTTTAATTAAAAAATAAGATCTTAGTTTATAAAATACGGATTCTAAGTAAATTTATTTATATAATATGATAAGTATTTAATAAAATAATTTAATATTATAAATAGCGCCCTCTAACGATAAAGGATTATAATAAAGACTATATTCGTATTTTAATTAGCTATTATAAAGTCGGCCTATTATTAAAAAGAAAGCGATTAAACGTAAAAGTAATACTTACCCTATTTTAATAACGATTTTAGAAACGATTAAAAGTTAAAATAAAAGAAGACCTTTTTTAATTAGAATATAAAATCGATAAAAAAATAGATATTATATATTTAATATACGGACCTTAGACGTTAGAAGAACGTTATTATTAATATATTAAGGAACTAAGCAAGGCCTATTATATAGTAAACGTTTATATTCCTTAATATTTAATTATAAAAATAGTCCTTACTATTTTATAATAACGATTATATAAATAATTTAAAATAATAACGAAGGATAATATATTCTAATTAAAATAAAACTTTCTTATATTTAAAAAAAGCGCTAAACCGGATAATTTAAATAAAAAAACTGTTAACGATATATTTATAAAATTTAATACCGAGGGATTAAATTACGACCTTTTTTTAAATAATATTAATATATTAAATTACGAATAGCTAATAGGTTAATAATTATTTTATAATTTAGACGAACTTTACGACGTCGTTTAACGATATACTTAATTAGAAATCGATTATAAAATACTATTTAATATTAACGATTTTATTATTAAAAAAGAAGCCGATTTAGATAAATAGTTAAAATAATAAAAATCTATAAGCTTCTAAAAAGAACTAAATTAGCTTACTAAAGACCTAAAAAAACTATTTATATAACCGACATATTTTAAATATATAATTTAATATTAAAATATTTAAAAATTATAAATTATTTCTTAAGGGGAAAGAACTTATTAATAAAAAAATAAACAATATCTATAATATTATTAACGTACTATATTTACTTATTAAAAGATAAAAGCGCCCCGATTTAATAATTAATTACGAACGGTTTATAAAAGAAAGATAGGTACTAATTTTTAAAATATTAAAAAACTAAATACGTTAATTATAAAAGAATAACAAAAAGCGGTTAAAATAAATAAGTTTTTATATTTTATAATACTTTTTAATAAAGAATATTTATAATTTAAATTTTAAATAAACGGATACGATATAAACGTTATTATTAATAACGGCGTTTAAAAAATCTTTATTTTATTAAGAACGGTAAATAAATATAAACTATTATAAATACGAAAAATAAATTTATATACCTTACGAACGATAAAAAGAAAATAAATTAATTATAACGACGGATATATTGATTAAGAGATTATATACTTTATAATATATATTAATAATTAACTAAAATAATTAAAATACGATATTATAAAGATTAGAAATATCGACGTTATTTTAAGAATCTTATAGTTACGAAAATATAATTTATAAATAAATTAAAGAACCGGTTAACTTTATTAGATAGACTTAGTTATTAAACGATTTAATAAAAAGGGTTTAAATAAGTTTTATATAATACCTAATAAATAAAAATAAACTAAATATATCGCTTTTATTAAAATAATAAAATTTATTAAGATATTCGTACCCGGTACGGACGATCGAGGATCGGACCTATTTTAAATTATATTTAAAAAGTACCGGATTTATATAAAACTATTTATTTTAAAAAAAGAAATAGGACTATTAGAATATAATAACTAAGATATAAAAATTGAATTAAAAAAAGGAATATAACTTAAGTTTTATTTATTATATTTTATAAATTAATTTAAACGCGACGAATTTAATAAGTATATCGACGACAGATTTAAGAAGGGTTATATTAGACTATTATCCTCTCTAATAAGAGTATTAATCTTTTTTATATTTAAAAAAAGTAAAAAAAAGCTTAGACTTATAATCGATTATAAAGGACTTAATAAAATTATTAAAAAAAATTACTATTTATTACCTTTTATTATAGAACTTAAGGAAATATTATATAGAGCCTAATAGTTTATTATAATAGATTTTAAAAGAGTATTTAATTAGATTAAAATTAAAAAAAAAGACGAATAAAAGACGGTATTTTAAATATATAAAGGATTTTATAAATACTTAGTTATGCTTTTCGGACTTATTAACGCACCCGCTATATTTTAAATAATAGTTAATTACGTATTTAAAGAATACGTCGATATTTTTATAATCGTCTATTTCGATAATATCCTTATTTTTTTTTTAATTTTAAAACGTATAAGAAATACATTTATATAGTATTTTAAAAATTTTAAAATATAAAGCTTTTTATTAAGCCCGATAAATACGAATTTTATATATAAAAGGTGGATTTCTTTAGCTATACGATTACGTTAAAATAAATTTATGTATAAATATTTAAAATAAAAGTAATTAAAGATTAGCCTATATTTATTAATATTAAAGATATATAATTATTTTTAAAATTCGTTAACTTTTATCGACAATTCTTTAAAAACTATGTTAATATTATTAAACTTTTTAATAATCTAATAAGGAAAGATATAACTTTTATTTAAGATAAAAAATATAAAAAAACTTTTAATAAAATTAAGAACTTAGTTATTTCGGAATTAATAACTATAATCCTGGACCTAGAGAAACTATTCGAAGTCGAGACCGACGTTTTAAACTTCGCTATAAAAACTATTTTAAAATAATAAAATTAATAAAGAATATTTTACTTTTATATATTTTATTTTAAAATATTTTATAAAATAAAATTAAATTAGTAAATTTACGATAAAGAATTAATAATTATAATTAAAGTTTTTAAAAAATAAAAACTATAGCTTTTAAAAACTAAATATAAAATTATTATTTATATAGACTATAAGAAGCTTACGAACTTTATAATAAATAAAAATTTAAATAAATAATAAATTAAATAAAGCGAATTCTTATTTAAATTTAACTTTTAAATTATTTACTAAAAAGGTTTAAAAAATAATAAAGTAAACGCTTTTAATAAACGACTTAATTACGAAATCACGGTCCCTAAGGAAATATAAATAATCTTTAAATATAACGATAACGGTAATCTTATACCTATTATAAAACTCTTTATAATAGCTAGAAAAGTCAATACTAGCCCGTTTAGAAGAATAACTCTTAAGCTTATTATAAAAGTTTATAATACTTAAGCATACGGTTACTAAGGCGTTATAAAAATATAAAAACGGATTCGCTAACACTATAATAAATCCGTTATAAAAGCAAAAGTCGTTAAAGCTATTAAAGACTACGACGTTTATAAGAAAAGTAAAAATAGCCCTTATAAGCCTTATAAAAAACTATAACTATTACCGGCGCTATTAAAAACATAGTATTTAATCTCTTAAAACTTTATTATTAAATTATTAAAGTCTAAGGAATTACTTATGAATATATAATACGATAATATTTTAATTATTATCGACCGACTTATTAAGTTTACTTATTTTATATTATATAAAGAAATAAATAATATTAAAGAATTAGTATATACCTTCCTTAAAATAGTTATTATTAACTACGGTTTACCTATAGAAATAATTTCTAATAAAAATAAGCTGTTTATTATTAAGTTTTAGAAATTTTTAATCTCGTAACTCAGTATAAACTATAAACTATTGACCTTTTTTTATTTATAAATCGATAAATAAATAAAAAAAATTAATTAGATTTTTAAGATATACCTCTATTACTATGTAAATTACGATTAAAATAATTAAGTAGTATTATTATTAATGGCCTAGTTTATATATAATAGCGTAGTTAGCGAAAGTACGAAAGAATCCTTTTTTTACCTTAACTACGGATTTTAATTAATTATATATAAAGAAATACGTAAAGGACTATAGGCTATGAAAGCCGTGGTAGACGTAAATAAACTTAGGAAGATTTAAAGGGAAGCCTTTTTAGACCTCGAGTTTATACGGTAGCGTATAAAAAAATACGTTAATAGATTAAAGATTAGTAAACTAATTTTAGAAAAAGGAGATAACGTATATCTCTTTTGTTATAATATTAAAATAAAGCGACTAAACGATAAGTTAAATTATAAAAAACTTAGACTTTTCGAGATTATTAAGAAAGTTTTATTAATTAATTTTAAATTAAAACTCTTAGATACGATACGATATTATTTAGTTTTTTATATTTTATTTTTAAAATTAATATTTAAAAGCTTATATATTAGAGATTGTATTATTATCGAACTTAACGAATTAGAATATAAAATCGAGTGAATTATCGATTACCGAACTAAAGAAGGCCGGGAAAAGTATTTTATTAAATAAAAAAACTATAGATATAAGGATAATATATAAAAACCCGTTACGAACCTCTAGAACTCTTAACAGCTTTTTAAAGAGTATTAAAATTAAATTTAAACTTAATACTCTTAGCTATTATGGTGTCCTAATCGATAACGTTAAAAGGATTATTAATTTACGCCTCCCGGGCTATTAAAAAAATACTCTCAATATCCTTAGGAAATTCCTTTAATATAATACGATTTTTTTTAAATACTATTCGTTTTTAAAAATAAAAGCATTTTAATTTAAATAACGACTTATTTAATTTAATTTAAGCCCTTTAATAAGCCTTAGCTTTTCTTTATAGCTTTATAATTTTTTTTTAAAACCGTAACTCCTCCGCTTACTTTTTATAATTAAAGCGATCGGACTTTATTATTAAACGATTTACTATACTTATTAATTAAGACCCGTAAAAGATAATCCTTAGGAAACTTATAAATATAAATAGTATTAGTGGAAGTATCGTATAAAATATTTAAACGATAATATATTTTATAAATATCGAAATTAAAAAGAACTAAGTAACGAATATTTTAAGAACGATAATTTAAATATAGTATTATTTCTATATTTTTATTAAAAAAACGAATAATACGTAATAAACGGCGACGAGACGTAACTATTTACGATTTTAATTTTTTAATTCGATTTAATATAGTGTTAATATATTTTAATAAAAATATTTAACGATTCTTTAATTTAAAAATAAATAACTTATTTATAGGCCTAAGGACTAGACCTTTGAGGGGAGGAGCTAATATTACGACCTAATATATATTATTAAATTAGGGCCTTACCTTATAAGACCTACGGCGGCTATTATATTATATATATAATAATAAAGAACTTAAATAGCTCCTTTTAAGATAGAAAAACTATAAATAAATTATATAATTACGATTTTATAATAAAATAAAAAACGGACGTTTATAAATAAATAGGACGAACGATCGTAAAAATATAGAATAAACGACTATTTAGTAAACTATTAAATAATAATAAATAAAATATTATAAAAGATATATTTATAATTTAGATTTATATATAAGATAGCCTAAGCTAAGCTTAAGGATAGATTTCTATAGCTTTTTTAATAATTAATTCTTATATTAGATTTAACGATCGCTTTTAACTATCTTTATTAAAAACTTATTTAATAAGACTACGATTAATTACCGAAGCCTTACCTACTTTACGATTTATAAATAATAGTATTACTAAAGCTATTTTTATAACGACTATTGTTTATAAGTATCGCAGCCCCGACTTCTATTAACACAAACCTCACTACGACTAGCTGGCCGTAACACGAAAATATATTAAAAAAAAAATCGGTTTTTTATATTTTAATATTAATACGTTTAAACTACGTATCAACGGTTTTAATATTATTTAAATATTTTAAAAACCTAAATCCTAAGCACTTTTAAATAATAAACTAAGTTATTAAATATTTATATAAAATACGCTATTTAATGATTTACTATAGCATATAAAAAGGTAAAATAAATTAAAAACTTAATTATAATTTACTTTTATTTATAGCCGGCGATATTTTATTTATAAATAATAAAGTTATAAAAAAGTCGTTATAAAAATATATTATAATACTTTTTAATAACTTAATTTAGTAAAAGGCATTTAGATAACTAATAGTAACGACCTTTATAATTAAAATAGAACTCCTTTATTTATAAAAAACTGTTAAAGAAATAATAATATTATAAAAATTCTTTTGTAGCTTCGTATTTAATTCAAAAGCCCTTTATATAGTCTATTATGATAATAAATAAATAATTAGATTAATAATAATGGATATAAAAAAGGTTTCTATACGCTTACGCTATATAAATATTTAAAATATATAGTTTTATTATGAATATATTATTAACCGCTTAGGAATTAAATATATAATTATAAAAAATATATTAATAAACGGTTTTATAAAAAACTTAATTAAAAAAAAAGTTCTTAAATTTTAGAATTTATTTAAATCTAATAAATATATAAAAAATAATTATAAAGAAAATATAAATATAAAAAACTAATAATTTAATTATAACTTAAACCTTAAAGGGCGTTTATTAAAAAATGACTTACTTTATAAAGCTATATTAAATAAAAATTAACTACTTTATAAAGCTATATTAAAAATAAAAAATAATAAAAATAAAAATAATAGCTTTAAAAAATATATTTAACCGCTATTATTGATATTAACGTAAATAAAAAATCTTTTTTTTAAAAATATTAAAAATATAACGGCCCTTAATAATAAAATTAATAAAATATATAAAAATATTATTATTATTATTTTATTAAAAAAAACCGTTTATAATAATAAGTTTAGCCTCTTTTTTAATTTTTTTAAAAGTAAAAGAAAATTTGAAGGCTTTAACTTTATAAACGGCGGAATAAATATAAATAAAAAATTAATAAAAAGATTATTAATTAAAAAATTTATTAAATAAAATATAAATAAGCAAATATTAAATAAAATAATAATATAAATACGACCGTTTTAAAAGTATTTAATATACTTATTTTTAATATAAAAAGCTTTTTTTATAATAATAAAATATATATAATACATTTTAATACCCTTATTAAATTTTATTAAAATAAAATAAAAAATATTAAAAATAGGATTTAAAATATTAAGCTCTTTTTTATACTTTTTTTTATTAAAATAACTTTATTTTTAACCTTATTTTTAAATATAATTATAAATAAAACCGTACCGACCTTAAACTTAACTAAAAATTTAACCGTTTTAATAAAAATAATAAAAATATTAATATTTTTTTTTTATAAATTATTTAAATATATTAAAAATAACGTTTTAAAAAGCTTAAAGATCTTTTTTATAAATTTTAATAACGGCCTTTTTAATAACGTTATTAAAAACGGCTTTATAACTCGTTTCTTTAGCCCGTTATTTAAATTATTAATATAAGAGCTTTTTACTTTTAAAATCGGTAATAAAGGGATTATTAAAATCTTTCGACTCCTCCCCCTCCTCTACCTCCTCCTCGGGGTTTTTAAAGCCTTTATTAATAAGCTCCTTAGCCTCCTTTTTAATAGCGGCTTTAGCGGCGGCGTCGGCGGCTTTTTTAATAATAGCGATATTAACGACGTATTTAATAATAATAATAGCGTAAATAATAGCCTTTTCGGCCTTAGCGGCGTAGGCGGCTTAAGTATGCTTAATAGTGCCTTTTTTAATAAAGGTAGTACTGGCTATTATATATATATATATATTTAATTACTATATTATAATTTATTAATATTAAAAAAGGGTTATATAAAGTTAAAAACTACCCTAAAAAACTTATAAAAACGATTTATAAAAAAGTTAAAAAAAAAGGATTTAATAAAAAAGCGGGTAATAAAAAAAAGGTATTTTTATTACTTATTAACTTATTTAAATAATAATTTAACGACCGACTTTATAATAATTTATTTATTAATAAATATATATAATAATAATAATAACGCGCTTATATAAATATATTATAACGTTATTATTTATAAAATAATATAAGATTATTATTTTTAATAAGTTCTTTTTATTAAACTTATTTTTTTTATTAATTGTTTTTGTATTTAGTTAAAAAAAATATAAAAAAGAATTTATATATATGATTTAATTATAAATAATTTTATAATTAGGGGGGTATATTATAAAAAGTCTAGCGTATAGCTATATATAACTAAGGTAGTACTTATTTAAATACGCTTATTAACTTACTTCCCAAGCGTTTTTAAATAGTATATTTACTTAATTAGTCTATAAAATATTTTTAAAAAAGGATAAGCATTTTAAATTATAAAAACTACGTTTTTACGCTCTTGGCCTGTAATAAAATATAATTATTTTTTTATTTTAAACGCGAAATAAAACGCTTATTAAAAAGCATTAGGTTAAAAAGTTTATCGATTTATAACCGATTTTAAAAACTAAATTTAATCGTCTATATAATTATTAAAAAGCTTTTTAAAAAGATCTAAAATTATTTTAAAATAATTTACGTTATTAAATAATATAATAACTAAATACGGTATTAATAATAAAGATCTATATAATTTCGACAAGATTAGTTTTATAATAGGCGTTATTATTAAGTTAATAATCGTTATATATATTAATAAATATAGAAAAGCGAAATCCGTTTAGCTCAATAACCGTAAATAGGCTATAATTATTAAATATATTAATTCGAGAGGGTAATATATTTTACTTTTTGTAATCGTTTAAAGGTTTTATTATT